AGAAAAAAAAAAAAAAAAAAAAAGAAACACAAGTCAAATCAGGGGATGAGCAGAGTGTAATTTATGTGCAATTTGAGGAAGCTCTCTGCTGTCCTACTGTTCCCTCCAGATGGTGTCACAAACCACACAGCAACCCTCCCTCACCTAGTGCCAGCACTGCCTCAGTGTCAAGGAGAAAGGAATCTGCACTGGGCAGCCTGGGGGAGAGGGTAGAAAGGTGCCCCACAGTGGGAGGGGCTGACCCATCGACTTTGGTGGTAGATCGTCTACGAACCTCATGGGCTGGCTGTGTCTGTGCTGGTCTCAAGTTTTGTTTTAGCACCCAGAAGCACCCCTCCCTAGTCACAGTCATGCCACTGCAGCAGTGGACCACCCATCTCATGTGTAGTGGACACTTCGGGAGAGTGCTTAGCTTACGAGGCCACCCTTACCTACACTCCCACCCTTCTACCCCCACCATCTTCACAGAGTGTGTGCCTGCTAGCCAAGTTGGACATTGTATCCCAGTCACCCCAACCCCGGCAGAGTAACCCTCAGGTGAACACAGTGACAGAACCCTCAGGTGAACACAGTGATAGAATCAAAGGGTCGGGTGAGGAAGATTTTAGTCCTCCCCTGACAATTTCCAACCAGCCTGCTACCTCTGTGTAGAATTCTGGAGCATTCCATGGGTGAGCAGCCAACCCATGTTGGTCCAGTGGATCTCTTTTGCACCCATGGAACCTGAGCGCACCTTGTCTGAGCCTGCACCTTTCTCAGTCTGCTTCTAGCACTGGGGCATCTCTGTCGCCTTGGCATGGGATCCCCTTGGAAATTCTGTACTAAAGCATGTGCAACTTGGAAATATGAGGCACTTAAAACCCATGGAGCTACTCTTGACCAAAAGGGGCTAGAATATGATGGATGACTGCTTACCACTTTTGTCACCCAGATGGAGAGTTGAGAGATACATTTCATGAGGCTTTCCAGAAGGTCCTGGTGGGATAGAGTACCAGTTGCCTGCAGCAGAGGCCAACGTGGTAAGGCACCATTGTATGGGCTTTTCTTCCTTCCCTGTTTCAATTCCCCTGTCCTGCACCACTGGACTTACATTCCCAACAATCTAGGGCTTTGTAACTAACTTTGCTTTCTGGAGAATCTAGGCTAAGGCAGGAGGGATACTTATATTGTAGAGATACAATGGTTTCCCATCTAAAATAAATATGTAGAAGTAAAAAGGTGAGTCAATTTAGAGGAAAAAAAGAAAACGACAGGAGACATGATATATGAATATGGTAAATACAATACACTTGGTTTTGCCCCTGAACAGGGTGATATTTGTAAAATGGTGATTCAATCTTTCCTCTCTCAACCTTAGAGCTGTCTCACTCTCCTCAAGCTGATAAAAGCCAGGCTGAGCTAAAACTGTACCACAGGGCAGGGTCGGGCTGGAGCCCAGGGCTACTGCAAAGTTTCTGCATGTTGAGTACTCAGGGTCCAAGGTGCTAGGGCAGCTTAGGTGCTGAGAAAACCCCTTTCCCACAGTGGACTCTCTGTTGCCAAAGAAACAAACCCATTTTTGGCGTTAACAAAAATTTTCAGGAAGTCACGTTTTTGGTTTTTCTAACAAGACTGGCTGCAACCCCAGCAGTGAAGAGTCACAAGAAGCTTTCTGACCTCTGTTTCAGGTCACTTCCCCAGGGCACCTACCTGGCAACAAGCACCCTGATTTCTGCTATGCAGTGTTGTTGCAGTGACTTTCAGCCTGTCAGTGGAGCCCCTGTGACTCCTTTCTCAGCTTCATTCAAACCCATCTATATAGCCTGCACCCAGAATGGGGTGGCCAGACCTTGGCTTTAAGACCACGGTGCTCCCGAGTGGTGCCACAGTCTGCTAAAGCTGTGGAAAAAGCCACCAGTGTGAGAGCGGTCACCTCTTCTTTGTACGCTCTCACATTCTTTTTGGTTCTCTGAGATGGAAATCACCAGAATTCTTAAAACGAAAAGAGAAGTGGACATTCAGAGTTAACCCTGATCTAAACAGAGGGCTCTTTCCCTA